TTTTTTTTTATTTATTTCTTTTATTTTTTTATTTAGAGTCCATTACTAATTTTTTTTAAATATTCTTCATGTGTATGCTTTAAATGGAGGGAATATCTTCTTAGACTACTTCTAGCTGTGCTTACAGCAAATAGTCATGCGAAAAATATTCATGCACTATTGATCTCTCGCATACACATGTGAAATTCTCTTAAAGATTTCTTTCTCTGGGGCACTCTCTAGTCGCTGCTGTCTATTTCATCTCAATTATTTATTTTTCTTATTTCTAATTTGAGCTCACATGGCAAATATGTTCCGCATCGTTTCGCATTTGTTGCTTATGCTGTCGTGTAGTGCTGTGTTGTGTGCGGCATGTCCTTGTTGTTATCCTGGATGTTGCTGTTGTTGTTGCTGTTGTTGTTGTTGTTGTTGTTGTCATTTCTATGCGATATCTCTATTCAGCATCATGCCTGAGTTATTATGCCAACTTCGTTTTGGCTTCTTAGGCACGGCATTTGGCAAGGCCATTTGCCATGCTTTATGCCAGCCTGCCAGCCAGCTAGCTAGTCTGCCTGAGGGGGGCGTGGCAGGGCTGCTGCTGCTGCATTCCGTACGTATAATTTTCTTTATGTGTAAGAGCGACTGCGCGCGCGCTATGTGTGTGTGTGTGTGTGTGTGTGTGCGTATGTGACACGCTCGTTTTAAAATTTATAATGTGGCCCCAGCAAACAAGGCAGCAGGACAACAAAACATGCAATGCAATCACAGACATAGAGATTCCCATGAGCGCACTACGCAGACAATATATTTATGTGTATGTACGTGTACGTGTGTGTGTCTGTGCATGTCCCTCGGCCGTTGTTTATGGCTGGGATACATTGGCGCTTGTGCTGTGTGCGTGCCTCGCATTTCGGAGAAGCGAAAGCATCGCGATATTTTTCTCAATGCTGCAATTTGAGTTGATATTTTTAAAGTGGACGCACGCCAGAGCAGAGCAATAGAAGTGCCAGCTTACGCTCTCTAGATATGATATATGCGCATATATATAGTCATATATATATATATATGTATATATATAGAAGGCAGCCAGCCAATCATCCAAGATTATTTTAAATTCCATACTTTAAAGCTCTACGCTGAAAAAGGATACAACAAATATATTATTGTCAGTTGTATTTTGTTGTTGTATTTGTTGTACTTCTGCCCGAAATATAGGGCACACTATGATTAATGAAGGCGAGAAAGCGTTGGTATAGAGAGGCAATCGATAAAGAGAGAACTGGTACAGAAGAAATAAATATTGAAAGCAATTTCTATATGAATAAAAACAAAATATTATTTGAAATGTTTATTTCAAGGGAATAAAATATAGAAGGAATATATAAAGAAGGTTTGTTCATTGGCATGGAAAGCGTAAATGTATAAGGAATTTATGTCTGAGATTAAAAATACGACAAAGAGAATTTATCTTGGAATATGTATGCAAATAAATAATATTAATTGATGATCTCCTATTTTATAAATTAAATATAAATTCAAATCATAGCTGTTGAGCGATTCTCGTACACTCTGAACTCTTAGTTTCAAATAGTTTACCGCTAATTTTGGCCTTTAAAATCATCTGAGCTTAGCTTTAAAACAGCCAAATCGCAGCGCATATATCATTTCATGTGATATAATAAGACAACTTTCATTTGCACATAAATTGCTGGAGGCTCGATCGATAGCCTGAAATCAAAAAGCGGCAGAGTGGAGAGTTGTGGTGGGGTTGCAGGGGTGGAGAGTTTGCTGGTTTCATTTTTGCAGTTTGCTGGCAGTTAACGGTAAATGATAATCACAAAAATGGCCTGCAACATGTGTGCGGAAATACGGCGTCGCGACTTTCGACGAAAGAGTTTTTGCAGCGGGTCCCTTTCGAGCACTTTTGCTGATTGGCGAGGCGACTGCTCAGAGCTCAGACGTTTGCGCGAAGCGCGGTGAGTATAGCCGAGTAGGCGAGTAGAGGCGGGGTGTTGAGTAAACTTTGCGAGGCCATTCAAAAGTGAGCAAACTTTTGGCCCCATCGTCGTCGTCGTCGTCGTCGTCGTCGTTGTCGTCGTCTAACTCTTGACTGGCGCCGTTTGGCTTTGGCCGCCAATAACTCAACAATATTAAGGTTGGCACGTGGCACGTCCTTCCTTCAAACCGTTGAACGTTGAACGTTTCAACGTTCAACATGCTGGCCGCAGCCTTTCTAAGGTCCTCTACACTATGCTGTGCTATGCTTTGCCCTGCCGTGCTGTGCCGTGCTTTGCTGTGTTTGTCGCAAAGTTTGTGGCTCGTTAAGCAAATTCAAACGACTTAAGCGGCAACACATGCTCGCAAGCAGCGCCACAGGCCAGGCGAACCGATCCCTGCTACTTGTCCCCAGTTGCCAGTTGCCAGCTGCCATTAGGCTGTGTTGTTGCCATAACTCTTTGTTGATGTTGATGCTGATGCTGATGCTGATGTTGCTGTCGTTGCAGCAAATCGCTCTCATATTTGCCAAGCACTATTAAATCAAATAGATCACTCGACTTATTGCGCAGCTGATGGCGGTCAATTGTAGAGCAAGGGCATATATATATAGTGGGCAGTGTATTAGGCAGTTGAAGGTTAGAGACGAAGAAACAAAGGCACAGAGAGAGAGAGAGAGAGAGAGAGTGAGAGAGAGAGAGAGAGGGAGAGGGAGAGAAGGGGAGAGAAAAAAAGAACCTGTACTGATTTTAAAAATACATTGAAGATAAATCAGATGGGAGTTTTTATGGGTCTAAAAATATACATTCTAAGTTACTTAAATATACATATAAAAAAAATTTAATTATTTATTTTATATTGTTTTTAAATATTTTTTTTCATTGAATTTTATTTACCTTAAACATTTTATAAAAGAATTATGATTATAAATAATTTCGTAAAAATATAAATTCGATTCTTTGTGCAGCTGATGGCGGCCAAGGGCATATATATTTATAGTGGGCAGTGTATTAGGCAGTTGACGGTTAAGGAGTAAGAATGGAAAGAGAGAGAGAGAGAACCTGGCTTTATTTTAAAACACATTGAAGATGAATCAAGTGGGAGAGTTTATAAATATATAAGTATACAGATATAAGATAATTGTATATACCCATACCCATCCTCTCTCAGACAAGTCGTTGCCTATAATGAACACTTAATCATTTCTCAATTTATAGCTCTCGCCTAATACCTGTCTATAATTGTTTGCAGATCCTCCATTGGTGACGCTGCGCCTGGGCTCCACGCTGACACCGGATGATATCAAGGAAGGCGACGATGTTTACTTCGAGTGTCACGTACAATCGAATCCTCAATGGCGGAAACTGTTGTGGTTACATAATGTAAGTCGCGTGTAGCCAGCTGGAAATGAAACCTCATGGCGAACCCCAAATACACACACACACACACACCCATACGCAGTGCCAACAGGAACTGAGCTTCAGGTCGTGCTCGAGTCTGCTCTGACCCCGGCTGTCTGCTTGGTTGCTTTCCATTCATTTTCTGTTTAAGTGTCAATAGCATTGGCTAGTTGCGTATAGCTGCGCTCCTGCCGCTCCTGCTCCTGCTCCTGATCCTGCTGCTACTGCTGTTGCTGCTGCTGTTCCCTGCTGCATTTGCTCATTTCAATTCATTTCACACCAAGGCTGACAACGCGTCGGGGCCATGGGGGCTAGGCTAGGGAGTTCAGAGTGACGCCGCCATATGCCATTCCATTTCCCAAAATAGTTTTGGGATTTGCGGCATTGATTTAAGCAACGCTTTGGCTGCAGTCGCTCACTTGCAGTCGCCGCCTCGTTCCTTCCTCTCAATCAATCAGCAAAGAGCATACGTACGGCCCAAACTGACATGGAAGTCAGCCATAGTTGTTGGCCTTTCGAATTGAATCGGTTTATCAGTAGCGTTCGCCTTTCTGAATGGCCTAACAAGCTCGACTCGATTGCATCGCACATCTCAGGCAAAATTGAAATTGCAAACGTTTGCCGAAACTATGACAGCAGGTTGAAGGATGTCTATTAATTGAAAATAGATGTTTGGCAAATACTGACGGCAACTGACAGAAAATAAAGAAAAGTCTGTATATGTGCAAGAAAACGGCTACTATCTGGCTGAAATATGCCCCAAATTTCAAAAAGTGGCTTGGGCCTTCCACTCTCTTTCGTTGGTTTCCATTCTTTAATATTCCATATTCCCACACAGCCCATAATAATAATAATATTTTTGCTTGAACAATAAATATCCTTTACTATTGCATACAGGGCATTCACTTGGAACACAATACCTCGGCTCGCGTCATACGCTCCAATCAGAGCCTGGTGCTGCAGAAGATAACGAAACACTATGCCGGAAATTATGCGTGCAGCGCCATCAACGACGAAGGCGAAACGGTCAGCAATCAGTTGCCGCTGCGCGTTAAATGTGAGTAGAACAAATATGTGGACATATAAGGATATACGCACGCATACATACATATAAATATAAATACACATAAATTTATAAAGAGAGGCTGCACGAATCTGCTCGAGCATATACTCTATAAATCCAGAGAGATGTTGCTTATACTTTACCTTTATATCAAATCTATGTTCATAGATATTGCCAGAGAGCATAGATCAATGTGAGTAAAATAATTATGTGGGCATATAAATACACATACATATATAAAGAGATATGCCAGAGTCTGCTCAATGCATAGATCAGGAATATACTCTAGAAAGATGTTGCCAAGGGAGCATGGATCAGGTATATTCGCTTTCCTGTATATCATCAATGGATGATATATCAGTGGATGCGAAAGACTCTTCTCATTAAATGGATCAAGCATTAACCCTATAATACCAGAAAGTTGTTGCCTGTATGTTCTCCTATATACATTCACAAATTGATAGAGAGATATTCAGGAGTTCCTATAGATTTATTGCCCGTATTTTGTTTGTCTCTATATCAAAGTTCTCTTCAAATACGTAATGGACTCAAGACTCTTCTCATAACACAGAACAGACATATACCCTAAAATCCCAGAAGGTTGTCATGTATATATGTATTAGAATTCATACATATATTCATGACAACTCTCTAGGACTATCAAATCTCTCTTCATATATTCTAAGTAAGCGCAAGACTCAATAAATAGTTCAGGCGTATTCTTTTTCATATTGAAGAGTGTATATTCATATATTGAAAGAATAGCTTGAGGTCTAATTTATAGAAATTATAAGTCAGACATATAGAGCGACCTCCACATCCTCTAATCCTAGCGAATTATTCTCTGTACACTGTTTTTTCTCTACATCAAAGCTTTCTACATATAATGAATGGAAGAATGGCAAGACTCTTCAAGACCCAAGAGAGCTGTTCCATTAATTTGTTTGCCTGTCTATCAAAACATATTCATATATTGAAAATATATATTTAGACATATTGAAAGGGTTCTCCGAGCATTGTTGCCTGTACTTTATCTTCCTGTATATAAAAATCATAGATAAGTCACGTATACCCTGTAATCCCATTCAGTTCTTTTGTTTTCGCTTCGCATCAGTTGGTCTTATGCGCAGTTTGCTGGAATGCCTCATCTATCTGGTTGTCTGGCTCTCTGGCTGACCCTTTGACCCATGTCTCTTATCACAGAGTGAGACAGCGACGTTGTCAAGCTACAGCGGGGACTCCACAGCTCACTCCCCTCGCCGCCACAGCAACCTTTAAATTTTTTTTTTTTTTTTTTGATGTATTGCAAGTTTCTTTTCCTCCATTTTTGTTGCGCTCGACCGTTTTCATTTTACAACTGGAACTCTTGAGCTGAACTCGAGTTGAGTTGTTGTCGCTCTCGTCGACGGCGTCGTCTCGATGTGGCGCAGTTGCAAGTCAAGGCTGTGAAAATATTTTTCATTCCGCTTTTTGCATAAATACAACATTTTGCCAACAGCAGCAGCAGCAGCAGCAGCAGCAATGGCAGATACAGCAGCTATAGCAGGCAGCAGTAAACCTCCTCGCTTACCCTCATCATCCAAAGCCTTGCGTCGCTTATCTGGAAAATCCAGTCGCTTTTCATATGCTTGCCACATGCGTTGCCTCATATTTCATTGCTGCTGCTGCWGCTGCCGCGGAATTATGCTTCAATTTAACAGGCCGCGAAATGTTGCCAGCTCCAGCTTCAGCTGCAGCTCTTCTCCTGCTACTACTGCTGCTCCTGCTGCTGCTGCAGCTGCGCTTTAATTCAAGCAATTTGACAAGCGCCTTCGCTCGGCTGCTGATCGCACTCATAATGAGTTTCGGAGCCGGATTTAGCGGCATATATAGTCTGTTGCCCGTCCTTTTTTTTTCTCATTTTTTCTTGTTGCCTCTGGGCCATACACATGTTGCAACAGCAATTCAAATGCCACTTTTGCTTCTCCTCTTTGTTACATGCAACTAGACTGACGCATTGCTTCGAGCCATAAATTAAATGCCTCTACAAAGCAGCCCCGCTGCTGCTACTCCTGCTACTCCTGCTGCTGCTCCTCCTCCTGCTGCTGCTGCTGTTGTTGACGTCTGCTGACATTTTGGTTTTTGTTCAAGCGACAAACTTATATTTCTTTTCAATTGCAGCTAATGCTTAAAGAAGCATTACATGTACACATACAAGTCTATATGTATACATGTATATGCTTAATTTGTAAGAGTATTTAAACATGTTTACAGACCATAATGGGAGCTCAGCTGCTGTGTAAAGCAGATTTTCATCACTGACTAGTAATGAATTTGTTAAAATGTGTATGTAACAGACTGAAGAAAGCGTGGCAGACACCATAAATCATATGAGACGATTCAGCTTTGTTCGTCTGTCTGTCCGTCCGTTCGTATATATGAACGCGACGATCTTTGAATGATAATTTAATTTTTACACCGTATAATTACTTTAAAGTAACATTAGTTAGTTAACATAATTATAACATAATAAAACACTGTCTGCAGTAACAGCCCCTTAAGTTATGCAACGATTTTTTATATTTTGCATATTTTGGTCTGTTGATTTTTGTGCATTCAGCGCCAGCAAAGAAATCCTGTGAAGTAAAAGCATGATGATGATTATTTAACAACAGTTTTTTATAATGGCCAAATTAGTTGTGCTTTTGATTAAGTTCTTGTTCGATAGAGGAAAAGTCACTCCACAAACACCTCAGCTTATCTTAACTACTAATACCAAATTCCAGTTTATTTATAGAAATTGCTGCTTTTAATTTGCTAATTAATTATATTAATAATTTAATCTATGAGGAATTTCAGCTATTTCTGCCTTCTCACATTTCTAATCTCTGCGATAAGTATCAAAGGCAAAATCAAATGCTTACGCTCAGTTTCTATCTCTCTCTCTCTCTCTCTCTCTCTCTCTCTCTCTCTCTCTCTGTATGTCTTTCGCTCTCTCTCCGTCTAGCTTTTAATATGTTTCTCTCTCGATGACTCTGCTGCTATTCCTTTCTTTCTTTCTCGCTCTTAACCACCATCTCTATCTGCCTCTCACTCTCTCTCTCTCTCTCTCTCTCTCTCTCTCTTTCTTGCAATGTAATTTCCTACATTATGTTTGATGTCATTGAACTTTGGGCGTTTGTGCCAGCAACAAGTGCTTATTCAAGTGCTGTCTCGAGTGCTGCCTAATTAGCTGTCGACTGATCAAACAGCCCTCGTGAACTCGTAATTTAAATAAGCAACAGCAACAATTACGCCGGGGAAGGGAATGAGGAAGAGGAAGAGGAAGAGAGCGGAGCTGTTATTTTTTGGCTAATTAATTACGCCCTTTTGTAAATTTTTAAGACAAACAATTCATCAAAAATTCAACTTGCCTGACTGCTAATGCGTTTGGTTTCTCTGCTGGGGGTTTTGGGGTTCTGGGAGTTGGTGGTTGGTGGTTGGGTTTTTGGTCTTAAACGCAATGGATGAAAGGTACAAGGGAGTGGTGGGTGGCGGTGGAAGGCGTTCTGTTGACAACAACGTGAAATTACGCATACGCCACGTGTGCTGTCAGCTAATAATCCTTTAACATTTATGAACGCCTTATTTACCTGCGAGTACTAAATCATGTTGCCACATCAATTAATTTCAAGTAAACAAGAACGCCAACGCGTTGCCACCCAACGTTGCCTTTGACACTGACTGACTGCCGCACTGGCACAGCCAACCCCTGTTCCCACGCCCAGCCCCGCACCGCACCGCACCGCACCGCACCGCACCGCACTGCCCTGCCCACTCGTAGCCTAACTGATGAGTGAGCCGCCCAGCTGTCTAAATCACTTTTGTGCGTTTGCCTCAACGTGATCAACGCCCCAGCAACTTGGCAAGCAAAAGAAAATGAGTTGCCTCATTTTTCTCTGCGCTTTTTTCTTGCTATTGTTTATTTTGTTCTTTTATTATTCTTTTCCTTTTTTTTTCGCATTTGCAAGCTAAGTTACTGTTGTAAATGTAGCTATAGATGTATTCTCTTGATTACGGTATGAATTATTTTTGGTAATATTGATTTCGCGAGAGTCGCGATTAATTTCATTACGCCGTAAAAATTATTTAATTATTGTCATTGCCTTAAGGGATATTTATTAATATTGTGAATAATAAATAAGTATTAAAATATAATA